TTTGAACTCGGTGCAATCTGGCGCATGTGACCCTAACAGTCGACCGTTAAGCATCGACCAATACCGATTGACTTGGATAGCGATCGAGCGCCCCCCACAAATGGTGCCACCGTTCGATTGAATGGGATCACATGGTTTTGACAGTTTCGTGCCTACCTTCCATTTACCATTAGCCCCGCAGACTCCAAGATCTCCAGCACCATTACCAGGTTAAAGTTTGTTATCGTAAGGCCGCTGGCAAGTTCCTTTGCCTTCTCACGAACGTTCAGGAAAGTTACGGCATCCCTGGCCAAACAATGGCTAGTTATTTATGCGTAGACCTATTGTAGGAAATGCATCATATCAGCTGTGTCGTTTTTTTCGAAGAGTATGTTCCTTGGAGAGAATCCGGAGACAGCCTTTCGCGTGAGAAACCTTCTGAGTGGGAGCGTAGACCCCTACCGAAGCGTTACCCTGGCTTCTGGTGGCACACCCTTCTGTTGGATGGCGTGAGCTGCGTGATGGCCGCGTGTTGTCCCATCGTGAATTTGCAATCGTTATTTTTCGACCAACGGCGTAACGGAGTTGGCTGACTCAACCTCGCCTCCTTGCTCCTTCGCATGCTGTTTCCAACGGCCAATAAACTGGCGGGGTTGGAACTTTATTTTGGAGGGAAAGTTGACAGGGTCGAAGTAGTGGGATAGAAAGAAATACGTGAAGCCATGGTGAATGCCTGGAGTGGGGGGAGGCAGTAAATTCCGCCATTGACGCTCCTCCTCTCGTTAGCTACGCCTCGTGCGTGTCAAGGCTGTGGTTTTGCCGTCGTGTCATTTTCCTCGGATCAAAATTTATTTCTCCTTTCGACGCCGCAAACCTAGCGCTCGTGGACTAGTTGTTCAAAGACGTAGGAATAATATTGCATCGTTGAGCGAGTGAGATGAGACGATACATCTCGAAGTATTGGCGGGGTATATGTTTAATTGTTTGTATGACTGTCGGAGCTACACTGGGTAGGTAGGCTGCGGAGACGATCGAACCTGCCAGTGGAATTGCAGAGACGAAAGGGCAGCTTATGGTGTGGGCCTCTATATCAGTACAAACATCTGGCCTCAGAACTTATCGCTCATTCGACATCCGAATCCGCGATAAGTTGGCGCTTGTATTTGTGTGGTCGAGGTTTGCCACCGAGTGGCCACACAACTAAGGCGGATAAGTAACAAGGGGGTAAAAATAAGGAGGTAATAGAGTAATATCTCATTCAATGATATCTGAGCCCTAGAGTGGTGGCAATGGCGGCGCACAGCATACGTCAAGGCAAATAAACCTTCGAGTAATGTTTTGTCGGAATATTAGCGCCGTGCCGCTAGTGCGTCCAGGTAGGGAACTCGAGGGTCGCAATTTTTCGGCCGGTGAGTAGCCACAGCATAAATTTATACATACGCCCACGTTTGAGCAAGTTGCGAAGTGACTGGAAAGGCTGTATGAGCCTTCAAAGGTGAACGACATGGGAAAATATGCGTTATACGGACAGAATTGATGGTGGCTGCCTCTGTAGCGTAGAAACATGATTTATATATCCAAAGTCACTCAAAGTCAACAAGGACAGAAGGTGAAGTAGTTGTTATGTCTTGTCTTTGAGATCGGATGTGTTCTTGTCGGGCGCTGCCGTGCAGCCTTGTCTTCACACGAAACACAGCGAGACGGGAACCACCCGCCAAGCGGGCTATTTATTATAATCTGTACTATATCATGAGACAATGCCGCCTCATCCTCAAGGACTCGCTGTGTACGCGTGCCAAGCAGGCGGTCATGACGGAAATGGACAGTGTGTTGTTTGGCTCGTATTTGGTCACCATCCAAAAACAACACTCGTCGGGTATCAACTTTTTGAATTTCAACGTTTGGCCACTCCTTCATCTGGTGTCCGGACCTTAGGTTGCGCCAATTCCTTTACGCCTGGGGTCTATAGGCTAACACCCAATCCATCCGTGCTACCTCTACAGACAAGAAACACGCGTTTTAGGAGTCCGAACCACCACACAACCGTCTCTTGCTTTCTGCTTCCTCGCCTCGCGATATCCTTGCCAGTTTACCTTAGAAGTATATACCTAATTGACCTCTAACCGCAACGCACTATCCACGATGGTCCTCATGCACATACCAATACCAAGCCTGCCGATCCCGCCCTCATGGTTTCCGGGCCATATGATGAAGTTTACGCGGATGCTCCCAGCGCTGCTTACCCGAACGGACGTCGTTCTGGAGATTAGGGACTCGCGTCTACCATTGACAAGTATCAATCGAACACTAGAAGGTACGCTAACCATTCTTGCGTGCCCTTCGGGCTCGGCGTTGTAATCGCACCACCAAGAAGCCGCGCTAGGCGCTGAATTTGGCCTCAGTGGGAGTCTTCTGGGATTCGGCTGGTACTATTCCGTACATATTCCCTGTCCTCCCGTTATCGCCTTTCTTTATGATCCCTTGGTTGACGACACTAAAATATTCGTCATTCAGGGGCTCTGCAAAAATGGCGATTAGCCCGTGGCTGGGACCCGAATAACCGAACTCGCCGTATCGTGAATGCCGGAGCGTGCGAGCGAATTATTGTGCTCAACAAACGAGATTTAGTACCTGAATGGGGAATGGAGGTGCGTCCTTCTGACCTGATCGGTGGAAGGCAGAGCTTGAGCTCTCCTTGCTTAGCCATTTCGCAATGCCATGGCCAAAAAGTTCCCTGACCAGCAGGTGATGTTTGCTTCTTGGCAACGGCCGCGGGATATTCGCAACCTATCCGAACTTTTAGTAAGTATGTTGCTTTAATCTTACTGCTCATGATAATGAGGATATGTTCATGTGCTAATAGCCTTCCTCTAGACACAGCCAGAAGGTATCCACACGCCATGGAATTGAATGTTTTAGTCATCGGAATGCCTAATGTTGGCAAATCAACACTACTCAATGCCTTGCGAAATATGGGGATCAAAGGCCGTAAGATTCAAGTACCTCTCATTCTCCAGGTCGTCTGAATATTTAATACGGACTTAGGTACTCCGAAGGCGTTTCAAACGTCTGCCCAGCCTGGCCTAACTCAGGCTCTCTCCACAAGGCTCAAAGTTTCATTGGAACCACTGGTTTATGCATTCGATACGCCCGGCGTCATGTTGCCCTACCTCGGACGAGGTGAGGAAGGTGCCGAGAGAGGGGTCAAGCTCGCTCTCATAGGTACGTAATACCCACACCGCCTTTAGTCCCACCCCACCGTGTCTGGTGATCAGAGCCTGATGTAGAACCTGTTTTATCACTTCGTGTAGCGGGTATTAAAGAAGGTCTATACGACATGGAAGCACTTGCATCTTATTTGCTGTACAGACTCAACGTTTTAGATCCCATGTGTGCGTTCTATTACCTCGTCCCCGGCCAAAAAATGTCTGATGACTGATCTCGTGGGTCGCAGCTCCGGCTTACCTTCAGCTGCTTCCGGAGGGAGCCACGCCTACCACCGATCTTCATGATTTTCTAGAACAGCTTGCACGGCGGATGGGGATGATCATGCGTGGCGCCGAGCTTGACACCGCCCGCGCTGCGGTCTATTTTGTGCGGTGGTGGCGAGAAGAGGGCGGTCTAATCGCTGCTGCGTCTTCACACCTTCACCTCTCCGAGGCCTTTGCCCCCGAATCTCACCATCCGCCAATGCAAGGGTGGGGCTTTGATTTCCAATGGCAGTTGGGCGCAGAAGGCAGATCAGCCACCAAGAACGATCAGGCAAAGATAGTACAAGCCAAGATGGAAGTCTGTATCGACGACCACTTGGCGACGATCGAGCGGGAGGAAAATGAAGAACTCAATGTCAGCCCTACGCAAATTAAAAAGCAGCAAGTCAAGGAGGAAAAATTGAAGCGGAAACTGAAACATCTACAGCGGTGACATGGCATTTCCCGCCGGGTTGAAATCATTTCCATAGGGCCATAAAATTGTATTCTGATTCAATATAATGAATGGTCTAGAACTGCTTAATTCGAACTGTAATTTTGGGTTGCCTCCCGTTGCTCGACTATGATTTGATTGCGTCTCTACCTTCCTCTGCAAGTGTAGCTGACTGGCGCTGGATGTACTTCCGAACATCGTTACCGAGCGCCACACTGTGGCTGGGGCTTTTTCTAAGCATTAAAAGACTATAAGAGACGCAGCCTTTCTCAGCCAGCCTGCTTATTCGTTGACCCGCTTCTTGACGATGCAAGGCATGCATGTCTCCCAAATATAGGTCTTATGTCCGTTTTGTGATCATGATGCAGTAACATCAGCTAGACCTCGTGCCCTTGATATGGGATGTTTCAATCCCTTCGATCTTTTCGATCTTTGAAGTTTCAGGACTGGATGAATTGCAGGCGTGACGTTGCATGAGGAATCTGGATAGATTTCAAAAGATTGATCACTGGCAGCAACTTGACCGTAATTAATCGCAACTCAGCCCAGTGAAATGTTTGAGAGCCCCTCACTGACGTATGGATATATTTTTGGGTGATCCTCGTTGTTTCGAATAGATAACCATGTATCCCTAGCTCACATCTAACCTCCGTGCAAGTCTTCGTTGTGGGGAGTACACCTTCAGTCAGAGATCAGACCTCAATAAGTGAAGCCGAGCCTCCCATCAGTCTTTTTACATATTACTATTTACGACTGGCACCAGCTGTTACCAGTCAAAAAAAAGTCCTGAAAAGCCTGAAAAGTGGCCGGTCAGATAGCCAAGTCATTTTTACTGAAAAGTTCGAGGAGGCGAGACCTCGACCGGTCCAGCCAGCTACAAAAAGTTGTAAATAGTCGGAAACTTGTGGTAATCGAAGTCTAGTATGAAACTCAAGGTGGCTGGATAGTAGTTAGTTACCTGTATCTAGATAAACTCTTCGACTTGTCGGCTCTTTAACTGGCCGCCATTGAAAAGTTCTGAAAAGCCAAAAAATAAAATGCAGATTTGCCAATGCTCATGAAAAAAGCCCTTCCAGGTTATTACGGTATGACCTGTATGACCGAGACAGGGGTCGAACCTGCAATCTCCTGATGACGGTATCGTAGTCAGACGCGATGCCGTTTCGCCACACGGCCAGGTACTCATACTTTCCTGCAAAATCGAGGTTCCAACTGGCAACAACTGAGAGAGGAGCAATAGTGCCACGTCAAGTTCGCGCTAATGTCTGTGAGCTGATAATGAGACTGAGATGATCCAGACAGAGCTTCCACTCATAGCATCCTGAGTTGTTGTATCAGAATTCAGGCCAGTTTGGGAAGGAAAACATAAAACACTGACCGAGACAGGGGTCGAACCTGCAATCTCCTGATGACGGTATCGTAGTCAGACGCGATGCCATTTCGCCACACGGCCATATAACCTGATTTCACCGTGCAATAGACATTATTCTCATCGTCTCAACTAACGAGCTATTGGCGATGTGTGTGAGGATTAATTAGATAAGATCTACAGAGCGTATCTGGCATCCACTTTCATCTCATGTTGAGTGGCATGACATCATGATGTGGGATAACTGGGCAGGAAAAAACAGTAGCTTGACCGAGACAGGGGTCGAACCTGCAATCTCCTGATGACGGTGTCGTAGTCAGACGCGATGCCATTTCGCCACACGGCCATGTATTTTAATTCAATCACGTAGTAGACGATTTTGTTATCGATATCGCGGTAAATTTACAGCATTGATAGGCCGTCACATTGTTATCCGTGAGTCGTGCGCGTCATATCATGATAGTCTGACCGCTCTACCGACTCCGTACATTACTCGTATAGAGCGTGAGCATGAGATCGAGATTGGCGCTGAAACCATTAGCGGCGTGTCTCTCGACGCGTAACCTATATGTGGGTATAAATCACGTGTCCACTCGGATCAGAAATTGCGTTTTCTTGGCCCTCTTTTGCGCCATGTAGGTTCCCCACACCAATGCAATGTGCTCTAAAAGGACTAATACCGCTCCCGTTGACTGTAACAACCACAGCTTTGCTTCAGCCCTATTCCTACGAATTTGCGTCCAGTAGCCACGGGATACTCAAAGAGGCCTCACTTAGTGGAAAACCCATGTCTCACAAGACAGGCTCGCTGGAAACGCCATCTGAGCTGACACCACTTATTCCAGGCGGATCCGGAAAAGGTGCAAAGGAATACTTGGAAGAGCGGTCTCCCAGTGAGCGATCCCCGCGTATTCACGACTCACGTTCAATCTGACCGCGTCTCTCTACTACTTCCAGATCATTCGTCAACACATCGTCGAAACAGCACATCAAAATCTGTAGCAATTGGAAAGGGGCTGGGGCACAAGGAGGGCGCCGTATACTCCGTATTTGGATCATCCGATGTTTCTTTACGGCTGCAAAACACGGGCACCGTGGCGCGCGACCACCTAGCATTAGAACGTACTTTCCTCGCATACGTAAGGACGAGTTTGTCTATAGCCTCCGCAGGCGTCGGTGCGTCACACCCCAACGGTCACCGAGCTGTCATTCCTGACATCAACCTTCCTTTCTTAGCACTCGCCCAGATAATGAGCATTGCCGAATTTTACTCTGGCGAAACCCACCCATCCAAATATAAACGGCAGGTGGAGGCTTGGGCTCGCCCTCTCGGCGCCTCTGCCGTTATCATAGCTATCTTCGTCCTTTGTATAGGTAAGTTGTTATTTTTGTTGCCACAAAAATAAGGCAGGCACTGATAAGCACATGTAGGCGTGGCGAGATACTTCGCGGTTCAGCATGCGCTGGTGGGAGGACGCTTCCCCGTTTCCCGCATAGGAATCGGCCTTATGTCAGCGCTCTTTGGTTCCCTTATTATTGCTACCTTCGCTGTGTTGATGAACGGTCATGTTTCAGCACTGCTTTGGTTCCCTTGATCCTATGTATTCGTCTTCCCTGTCGTTGATCCTTTAGTCACCTTGATGCCACAGCTTTTGCTCCTGCTTTCGTTCACACCGTTATACCAGATATATCCCACATACACACACATCTATCATGACAAGCATTGACTCTGATTTCACCGCCGTCTCATCTTTTATAAGAACATACAAACAACATCAGGAATAAAAGCATACATACAATAAGCAGGGCAGGGAAGAAAATCAGTACAAATTACAAATTACAAAAAAGCTGGAAGAATCTCCAGAACGCCACGGAGGCAAAAAAGAAGAGAACGAAGCGCCTGAGAAAGAAGTGTCCCATAGTGTACACATGTACACTGATCGCTTAATTCCGTACAACCCTCTAAGAAACATGGATGCATAAATCTACGCACCCACACGCGCTGTCCCCGCCTGACTCTCGACGTCGTTCGGCACCGCACGGCTGAAGCTTAACCCACGGAAGAACGCTGGCGTGAAGGTCAACAAGCCCCCACTCCTCGTGCCATCGGACGCCCCAGCGGTATTGGCAGCCTCAGCAGCAGTAGCCTCTTCCGCGGCCGCCTCTTTATCGGCTTGCTCTTTCGGTGGCGGTGGCTGCGTCGTTATCCGCAGAAGCGATGTATAGGCTGGGTAAAAACGTAAGTGAAGAATTGGACGGCCACTTTAAACCCCAGGAACTTACGTTGTCGGCAGACGGGACAGAACCAACCCTTGGCCTTCCTCTTCCTGCGTGCGTTCGGATTCGGACCGGGCGCAGGAGCGGGAGCAAGGACGGGAGCAGGGGCTGTTGCTGGAGTATCAGCAGGAGCAGCATCCCCTTCCACTGTCGGGGAGGGTGTGGCGGCAGGCGGAGCTTCAGCAGCCGCCTCGGGCTCCGTCGCTTGGCTGATGGTGCCGCCCGCACCAAATTCGACCATGTTCAGTGCACATTCTTTACACGCGACGAGATGGCGACATGGGAGAAGGACGACCTCGCGAGGGGATGAAAGGCAGAGGAGGCACTCCGATTGCGGATCGTCTTCCGCCACTGGTGGCAAGGGCATAGGGAATGGCGTCTGCGAGTCGGATGGCGTGGCGGGCGGGGGGTAGGTGTGCTCTGCGATATGTGCAGGCGCGGGTACCGTCGTCGATTGCGAGGTGAGGCCATAGATCTCGTGTAAGTGGAACGTATGTGGTCCGATCTATATTTTGTCAGGGGGAATCTTATTTATGCAACATGAGATGATGCTCACTGTTGCCTCCCTTTTTGCGACTCTGACCACCCACGGCCGGCTATCTTCGTCGCCGATCTCGCCCTCCACCGCTGTCCCGAAGCGTACGACATGGAGATAAGTTACCTGCTCATTAGGTGATGCGAGCTCCGTGCCTTGGGCATCAAGTGCAGCGAGTCGTATAGTAACACGAACACCCTCCACAATATCGTCCTTGTTCTTGTCGTCGGTGGCTGGGGTAGGGTCTGCATCAACGACCCTTAGAGCGGGCCCAGAAATACTGTGATTTTGAGTCCGCTTTCGGAAAGGGAGGTGGGTAAACCGACGCCGAGCATTCCGATTAGCTGTAACGTTAGAGTCAGCTGTTGTTGAATTATCGCCTGTTGATGAGGATTCAGGTGCGCTAGCCGGTGTATGTTCAAAGCGGCCTAGTTCGAGCAAAGCGCCTTCCTCTAGCGTCAAGAGCTTTCCGAAACCCCCGTCGACGACGGATTCGAATACAAGAAACTTTGATAAGCCAGATGAGGAAGTGGTCGAGGGGGCGTCGGGATGATCCTTTGGTAATAGTATGTGCACGTAAATACCGCATTTCGGGGCATCACAATCGTATTCAAACTCGAGGCCGTGATGGTGGTGGTCCGCGGTGGAGTCTTCTGATGTCAGCGGGGAAAGGCGAAGGGTTGGACGTTTGAGATTGACGAGAGCTTGCAGAGTGGTGGTGGGTTGCGACGCCTGTCGTTGATGGGCATGAGTAAACGGGTATGGAGCACACGATTAGATACTCACATCTTTACTCTTTGCAACCCAGTTGGTAACGACGTCAGGTGTCAATTCGTCTGTAAGCACTTTCTTCTCCGAGGCAGCCGTCCACGCAGGACCGCTGCTGACTACACCAATATTTGGGCCAAAGAGGGCCTCGTGAGTTTTCTTCTCCTTCGTCGGCCGAGTGGAACCTCCTGCAAGGTCTTGTCGCTGAGCACGCTGAGCTTGCAGCTGCCTCGATTGAGTTGTTGAGTCTGTTGTGGGCACTGTCAAAGACGAACACAGTGTAGAGGGGACAGCTTACACCAGAATGCGAGGCTCATGGTAGTCGGGAGGAATGGTTGGGTGAGAAACAAATGAGCGTGTATCCACTGTCTAAGAATCTCGGCAGGTGCTGATATGATCGGCTGACCTCGAAACGGGAGCTGTACCTGATCAGTCTTGTTATAGTTATTGTCAAACTTGTGTCGATCGGACCTTTCATGTGGGCTGTTCTCTGTTCTTATTCAGTTCAAGTGGGTTATGTACCGTACGTGCATGGGGCTTGTTCATAAGTTCATAGGAAAGCGAGAATACAACATGACGCTATCTACGATCATGCAACTAGCGAAACAACTCCTCCAGCCTCTTTGATCTTGCGCCTATTTATAGATGTTGACTTTCAATCCACACGGTCGTGCACAAATTAACACTTACTCGGCTATTGCTGACACAAAACGCGCTTTTACGATGAAGGGCAGTTTGGGGAGACTGCTCCGAGATCAGAGATGGACTCACAAGACCAGAAACAGAATAAAACTCACAGTCCGTTGCCCAGCACCTTTCCGTAACCGTGCCTGAGGGTGTCGATAACGGGGACGACATCAGAGGTCTCTGTGAGGCCCTCCTTCTCGGCGGCAGGGACGAGACTCCACAGCTTGTCGACGTTGATGATGGGGCGCCAGTGCTGGTTGCGAGTAAGGTGGAATTGACGCATACCAACCTTACCGAAGTAACCAGGATGGTACTTATCGAAGTTGGTACTGCAGAGGGCATCAGAAAATGCATCGGAAGAGTAGAGCAGGTACTGGAACGCACCGGTGGTGGTGCTGACCACCAGCGAGACCGCGACCTCCGGGATGCTTGCGGTGCTTTCCTACACGTCCGTGACCGTGCGAGACGTGGCCACGGTGCTTGCGAGTCTTCGACAAGTGTGTCGGCATTGTTTTCTGGGTGAATGAGAGAGGAAGTCAG